CCAAACTAAAATGAAACCAAAACCAAAACAAACATCCCCCCTCCAAAAAAAAAAAACGAAACAAAAAGGGGGAACACAAACTAACAACAACAACAATAACAAAAACAGCAACAGCAACAACAACAACAACAACAACCACAACAACAACAATACCAGCAGCAGCAGCTACAACAGCACAATAAAAGCAGCAAAACAACAGACGCAAGAGCAACAATAATAACAAAGAAAACCACAAAAATCAACAACAACAACAGCAGCAGCAACACTCCTCCACATGTAACAAGAGCTCTGTTAGTTAGATTTGTCTTGCATTTTTCTTTCTTGACTCTACTATAACTCGTATATCTATATCATACCACTACATCAGCTACTTATTTTCATTGACATTGTGTACATTTTCAGGGTCAGTGAATTTGCGACTTTAGGTGTGACGTTTAAGTGTTTCGAGAGCATAAGCATAATACCTGAGTTCAATTCTCGTGGGGAGAGCATCTTTATCTAGTTTCTCTGTCGTTCTGCTGAGACTTTGTACACTTCTCAGGTCACTGGTTGACCCTGACAAGCAGAGTCGAAGCCCGCCTCCTAGATGATCTAGATTGTGTTAATACTTTACTTACTTTTTACTTTTTCCTTCCTCTAGTATCCTTAGGATGTCGAGGGGAGATGCTGGTTTCGGTCCTGTGCCAGGGGTAGGTGAAGATTTCTCAACCCTGTCCGTACGCCCTGTGGTCATTTTGTACCCCGGGTTGTATTCTTCACATTTTAGAACACTTCTAGAATGAAGATCTCTTTGAATCTTTCAGTTTTTCAAAAAAAAAATCATTTTGACAGAGTGCTATGCTAAGCTACGGATCGGATTAACGAGCAAATTTCCTCTTTGGAAAGTGGTGGCACAGAGTTCCCCACGTCGTATGGATACGATCGTAAAACACGACGCACAGATGGCCTGTGACTGTCCCTTCAAGTAGTAATAATAATATTAGTATGCCTCACCTTTGGCAAACCAAGGAACACTGCAACGTTATAAGACATGACAAGGGATACAACTCATACAATCCATAATTTACACAGCTGAATTATCAAAGGTTATTTCCCCTGTTTTGAACGCCCGTTTCTCTCCGAACTTGTCGGTCGTCTCGTCGTCTCGTGCTTGCTGTTGCTGTTGTTGTTGCTGTTGTTGTTGCTGTTGCGGGATGAACGTGATGGCGTCTTCTTTCCACGGTCTCGCTTACTGCTGCGAGTGCCCGGCCGAGACAGATTGTTGAGTTTGACTGTCGATGATGACCAAAAAAAAAATCATACTATTGTGCTACTACTACTACTACTACTACTACTACTACTACTACTACTACTACTACTACTACTACTACTACTACTACTACTACTACTACTACTACTACTACTACTACTACTGTATGTATGTATGTATGTATGTATGTATGTATGTATGTATGTATGTATGTATGTATGTATGTATGTATGTATGTATGTATGTATGTATGTATGTATGTATGTATGTATGTATGTATGTATGTATGTATGTATGTATGTATGTATGTATCTATCTATCTATCTATCTATCTATCTATCTATCTATCTATCTATTCGTTTGATAGTGGATTGTCTTGGTATCAGTCATTATTGTAACTTCAGTATGAACACCCTCTCTACTTCCTGTAAGCCTTGTACCTCAATAAGACTAAACAGTTAGCCAACGCTTTTGTAGACAAGATATGTGAGACCATGGTGAAATCTGGCGCTTGTAAAAATAATGAAATCTAAGGTATCGGCATTTTACCTCCGGTTTGTAGCAATTTTTATGGGATGTTTGTTTTTTGGCTTAACACCTTTTATGTCCATAAAAAAAAACACATTTCCATGTGAATTTTACAGAAAAAAACCAATGATCAATTGCACAAAATATGTAATTCTTCAGCTTTCAGGGACCCTCAAGCTTTAGAAGTTACCAGACTTTGTCTGCCATTTGCTTGCTAATTTTACCTCAGAAACCAAGCTACCCCCACCTCCTTCAATCGCAAGTATCTCGACTTCTGTTAAAGATAGATGAGTGTTTTTTCATGGAAAGAAAGACTTATAATTAAGCTTTCAAAAGATATCCCCACGTGCCCCAACATTGACGAGCGCCTGATTCCACCACCTCGTGACACATGTGAAAAGTGTATGGTACCAACTTTTTAATTCGCGCTCGATATATTTTTTTATTTTTAACAGCTCGCCGAAAAAAACAAACCCAAAGAACATTGGTCTACCATTTGTCGCAGTGTGTATTAGGCTAAAGGATATAACTAAAGGCATAAACAGAGTTATTTTTATTCTCTCTTTTTTCTGTGCCTATACACCCATCAGTTTAGGTCATACTTTCCAGATTTAATTTGGAATTTAAACTTTGTCCATTCTTTAAAAAAAATCCTTCTTGTTTTTATAAACACTATCATGAAGCATTCATTAGCTTATGGGCCGTTTTTGTAAAGATGGCTGTTTATTTGTATACCCAACGAAAGTGTGGTTGGCAAAACATTGAGCAAATAAAATTTACCAGATTGTGCTCATATTAAACTACTTGTAAACTATCATGCTTTCACTCTGCTTTAGACCGATGACAATAATGAAGATGTCACAACTTCTTCAGCTACAGCTCCTGCTGTTGCTGTTACCTCTGCAGCTGCTGCTACCCCTGCTTATTCTGCTGATGCTACTGCTGATAATGATAATGAAATTGCTGATGGTGATGATGAAATTTAAAAAATAACATTTTTATATCATTATAAGATTTATGAAATACCCAAGTCTCCATATACTTTTTGTTTTTATTTTCGTATTCAAGCAATGCTGTTGTTGGTAAGGATGATGATGATAATGATGATGATGATGATGATGATGATGATGATGATGATGATGATGATGATGATGGTGTCAGTTTGGAACTCTCTCCCACAACCCTTGAGACATAGAACGTCTGAGTCTAAATTTAAAATATCTTTAAAGACACAGTTGATGACATCATTTTTATGTCAGTAGATTAATATTCAGTACAATATTATTATGTAAATGACTATGTATCCGTTTATATATTTGCGAATTGCATTGTGTATATTACTTTTTATGTTTGTATGTGCTCATTTAGGAACGATGTGTAATTGTGCGCGTGTGCTAAGCAAGTAGATGTGTGTGTGTGTGTGTGTGTGTGTGTGTGT